AAACGATGAGTCTTTTAAAGAGTTTAAAAATAAAAACTGTTCCTCTAAAACAGAAAACAGGTTTTTATTGAGACGTTGGAGCAGACAGATTAATCATGTCCATCTCAGTATATGTTGAAATAATGACAGTAAAGAAAGGTGCAGATCAAGAGACGGGCGTTTCAGAAATGTCCCATGATGAGAATCTGCACCTGAATGCATCATTGAGCCTCAGAAGAAGAAACTAAAAAGCATCACCAGGTTTCGGGGGAAATACAGCTTTTGTCGTCAAAATTTCACTCAAAATTTCCAACGGAAGATGATGCAGCTGGTGAGGACTCTTTAAAGTAGAGACACTAAATACTGACCTGAACATCAGCAGCAGAGGACTCTTTAAAGTAGAGAAACTACATACTGATATACACCTGAACATCAGCTGGTGAGGACTCTTTAAAGTAGAGACACTACATACTGACCTGAACATCAGCAGGAGAGGACTCTTTAAAGTAGAGACACTACATACTGATATACACCTGAACATCAGCAGGAGAGGACTCTTTAAAGTAGAGCGATAGGGAACATTTAAATAAAACCCAGGAGAATCAACATTTTCTTAAAAATGTAAAAACTTTATTTGGCCAACATAGACATCATTAAGAACAATTAATGCTATACAATCCCTGACACTGAAGCATTAATACAAAATACAGATAAAAGATTTCCAGTCAACACTGATCAGATCAGTTTCAAATTAAATGTGAGGTTTCCTCGTATCAGTACCGTCTTCTTAAATAATCCCAAACTGCTTTCAACAAAAATCAGACATCATTAAACTTTTTGGATAAAGAAATGCATCGACCATGAGGCAATTACTGTATATCTAGACTTTGGAAAAACACACATCGGGTACAGGGCACGGGGGATCACGTTCTCTTGTTTCACATTTCATCTTGGACATTAGGATTCTTTTCCCCAAAGATATACAACATTGATTTCAGGAAATTGTGTTTTTTACTCAAACAATTTTCACTTTATTTTCAAAAATTGTGAATTTTTCTTCTGAATAGAAATTAATATATCACAAAATAAGTTTATACGACATTTTTGGTTTTTATTTTTCGGAAATTTCGTTTTTTTCTTTACTTGATTTTCAGAAGAAAAAAAACGTTTTCTTGACATTTTTGTTTTGTACTTTTAGAAAATGTTGTGTGTTTGTGTGTGTGTCTGTGAGTGTATGTGTGTGTGTGTGTGTGTCTGTGTGTGTCTGTGAGTGTGTGTGTGTGTGTGTGTGTGTGTGTGTGTATGTGTGTATGTGTGTGTGTGTGTGTTTCTGTCTGGGTTTGTGTGTGTGTGTGTGTGTGTGTGTGTGTGTGTGTGTGTGTGTCTGTGTTGGTGGTGTGTGTGTCTGTGAGTGTATGTGTGTGTGTGTGTCTGTCTGGGTTTGTGTGTGTGTCTGTGAGTGTATGTGTGTGTGTGTGTGTGTGTGTGTGTGTGGTGTGTGTGTGTGTGTGTGTGTGTCTGTCTGGGTTTGTGTGTGTGTGTGTGTGTGTGGTCTGTGTGTGTGTGTGTGTCTGTGAGTGTTGTGTGTGTGTGTGTGTGTGTGTGTGTGTGTGTGTGTGTGTGTGTGTGTGTGTGTGTGTGTGTCTGTGTCTGTGTGTGTGTGTGTTGTGTATGATATTTTAACTTTTTGTCTCAAACATGTGATAATGTCGGGGAACAGATCAAGTTTTTCTTATTTTTGTGACTTTTTGTTGGAAATTGAACATTTATTTCATTTCACTAAATAATAATAATCTTTAAGTTTTCGTTTTGTAAATGTGAGACTTTATCTTCATCAAATGACAACTTTAAAGACGCAAATGACCTCATTCTCTGTTTAAAATGTCCTGTTTTCTTTGTAAATGTACGACTTGTTTTTCTTTTTACAAATATAACCCCCCGTACCCGGTCTCCATATTTATTTAGTTTTTACCAAAAAAGCACATTTTTACCTATTTTTCTTGCATCATGACAACAAAAAACAGCTTGATTGTCAATCGAGAGTAAACAAAACAACATTTGAGGGTAAACAGAAATATGAGCTCCAGGTTTGTTCAGTAGTTTTCTTGAAATTTGGACCACAACACTTTTTATCGTTCCAGTTCCTGTTAATTCGGCTGCAACATGGTTTTGATCTGCTTGGGGGTCGCCTCGTCGTTCAGGTGTTTGGTCGTATACCTGGAAATTAATCATTCGTTAAGAAACATAATGTGTCATCAAATGTGTGTCTTAAACAAAGAAATGCAAAAATAAATGAATAAATAAATAAATGACTAAATTAGTAGGTAAATTAATTAATACAAAATAATGAATAAATAATAAAATTATAGACGAAATAAAAAATTAATAAATACAAAAATAAATACAAAAATAAATACAAAAATAAATACTAAATAAATGACTAAATAAATGAATAAATGATTAAATTAGTAAGTTAATTAATTAATACATTCATACAAAAATAATGAATAAATAATAAAAACTATAGATGAAATAAAAAATAAATAAATAAATGTAAAAAATAAATAAATATAAAATGTGTTCAGACCTGAGAGCGTTGAGTAACCCCTCCACACTGCTGGGCGGCTGATCCTTCAGCACCCTGATGCAGCCTTTCATCTGGAAAGTATCATTCATATTATTATCATTATAATTATACAACAATTCTTTACGTTTCTTTATTTTTTCATCATTATTATTTATTTTTATTATTTTATTATTGTTTGATATTTATAAAATAAAATGTATATGGAAGATGATGTTGAATGTGATCAACTGGCGCAAAGAAAATGTTCATATATATATATATACATTACTTACTAAGATTTTAACAATGTGTCTGTCTGTCTGTCTGTCTGTCTGTCTGTGTGTGCGTGTGTCTGTGTGTGTGTGTGTGTGTGTGTGTGTGTGTGTGTGTGTGTGTGTGTGTGTGTGTGTGTTAACGTACGTCAATATTGGAGGTCTTAATGAAGGCTCCAGCTGGGTGGACGTGGTCGTACAGGATGATGACGCCCACCATCACACGGAGGCAGAACAGCACCGTCTCTTCACTGGCAAACCGAGTGCGGTACTCCCTGTACGCGCACACACACACACACAAACACACACACAACAGACACACACACACACACACACACAAAAAAATACATTTGAATTTTTATAGTAATTTTCATTTTTTCTATTTTCATTTTTATTATTATTACTGCATGTTTATCATTATTATTATTATTCTATTTAATTTATATTATTATTTGTATTAATATTATTACAATTATTTTCATATTATTATCTTATTATTACACACACATAAGGACTCACGGTGTTTCCAGCATCACTTTACACACACTGGCCATCGTGCTCAGACAGTCCGTCGTGTTCTCGATCGGCAGGTCTGGGTTCTGCGGGACAATAAAGGTTTATTCAAATAAAGTGGGCTCCTAAACATCTCAGTCGTCAGGCGGAAATAATAAATCATATGTGACTTATTTACCTGAGGATTAAGGTGTCTGTCTGTCTGTCTGTCTGTCTGTCTGTCTGTCTGTGTATGTGTGTGTGTGTGTGTGTGTGTGTGTGTGTGTGTGTGTGTGTGTGTGTGTGTGTGTGTGTGTGTGTGTGTGTGTGTGTGTTTGGAGCCTCTTTTTTCACAGGATAATGAATTTATTTTTAAACTCAATTATTTTTGTATTTAATATTTTAAAAATAATAACCAATTTTCTTCTTTTTTCTTTTATAATGTTCTACTTTTAAAGAGGTCCACGAGGATTTATTTATTATTTATTCATTTATACTTTATTTATTTATTCATCATCTCTCAAATATTTAAACGTTATGAAGTACTGTGAGTTCTTATCAACTTCCCTTCACAGAGGAGGAGAGGGTGACCCCTGCAGGCCAACATGTGCATTACATTTAGGACATTTAATAAATGTTCTTTAATCTATAAACTACATTTCATCTTTAAATCTAAAACTTCAATAAAATGAGAAAAAATGCTTTTAATTCATGCAAGGACATCAAGTAATTTATTTCTATTTATTTAGCTTTGTTTAATTATTTTATTTCACTAATGTTTTTGATCCTGACTTTTTGACAGTCCAAAACCTTTGGTAAATAATTTGTATTTTTATTATTGTTGTTATTTTATTGTTTTATTATAATTTTTTAAACCTGTTTACTGTTTGTTTTTTAACAACCAAAAAGTCAAAATACACACACACACACACAGAAACACACACACACAGAAACACAAACACAGAAACACACACACACAGAAATACACGCACACGCAGAGAAACACACATACACACACGCAGAGAAACACACACACACACACACGCAGAGAAACACACACACACAGAAACACACACACAGAAACACACACACACAGAAATACACACACACACACAGAAACACACATACACACACGCAGAGAAACACACACACACACACACGCAGAGAAACACACACACACACACACACACACACACACACACACACACACACACACACACACACACACACACACACACACACACACACACACACACACACACACACACACACACACACACACACACACACACAAGAGACACACACAAATAAATATTTAAGATAAAAGAACAAGGTAAATAAATGAATCAACTTAAAGGGGACCTATCATGCAAAATGCACTTGTGTACGTCTTTTCTACATGAACATGTGTCCCCGGTGTTCCAGGGAACTCACCAAGTGTCAGAAAACACAACCCTCTCTATTTTCCTCCATACCCAAATCTCTAAAAAAGGGGCTGCAACGGATCTGATAAAAACTGATCCAGATTTGAACACTGTCCTGACGTCAGGACGGTGGCGCTACGGCTATTGGGCCAACTCCACCAATCAGGAGGAGACAGCCACGGCCATTGCCGCTCGAAAGCGCTGGAGACGCTGTAGTACATATGCCAGGCCTGTAGATGGTGCTGTTCTCACTGAATCAGCCCTTGCAAAAACAGAGCTATAAATTGTCAAATTGAGCGAAATGAGGCATGGCTAAAATGCATGATCTGTTTGGTATTTTGAAAAAAAAAAAGTATAAATATGCCTTATATAGGTATGGTCCTACACTATATTATTATAATATAGCATGATAGGTCCACTTTAAGCTTATTAATTCTTATAATTTATAAATAAAGACGTTTGTTGGCAAACACAGACAATATGTAATTCTTAAAATATTTTTTAAAAACACAACACTGGTTTGGTTTAAAATTCCATTAATTGCATCCTCCTCTAATGCACCTCCTCCTGATGCACCTCCTTTACTCCCTCCTACTCCCTCCTTCTGATGCACCTCCTTTACTCCCTGCTACTACCTCCTCCTGATGCACCTCCTCCTGATGCACCTCCTTTACTCCCTCCTACTCCCTCCTCCTGATGCACCTCCTTTACTCCCTCCTCCTGATGCACCTCCTTTACTCCCTGCTACTACCTCCTCCTGATGCACCTCCTCCTGATGCACCTCCTTTACTCCCTCCTACTCCGTCCTCCTGATGCACCTCCTTTACTCCCTCCTACTCCCTCCTCCTGATGCACCTCCTTTACTCCCTCCTATTCCCTCCTCCTGATGCACCTCCTTACTCCCTCCTACTCCCTCCTCCTGATGCACCTCCTTTACTCCCTCCTCCTGATGCACCTCCTTACTCCCTCCTATTCCCTCCTCCTGATGTTGCACCTCCTTTACTCCCTGCTACTACCTCCTCCTGATGCCACCTCCCTCCTGATGCATCTCCTTTACTCCATCCTACTCCCTCCTCCTGATGCACCTCCTTTACTCCCTCCTACTCCCTCCTCCTGATGCACCTCCTTTACTCCCTCCTACTTCCCTCCTCCTGATGCACCTCCTTTACTCCCTCCTACTCCCTCCTACTCCCTCCTCCTGATGCACCTCCTTTACTCCCTCCTACTCCCTCCTCCTGATGCACCTCCTTTACTCCCTCCTACTCCCTCCTCCTGATGCACCTCCTTTACTCCCTCCTACTATCTCCTCCTGATGCACCTCCTTTACTCCCTGCTACTACCTCCTCCTGATGCACCTCCTCCTGATGCACCTCCTTTACTCCCTCCTACTCCCTCCTTCTGATGCACCTCCTTTACTCCCTGCTACTACCTCCTCCTGATGCACCTCCTCCTGATGCACCTCCTTTACTCCCTCCTACTCCCTCCTCCTGATGCACCTCCTTTACTCCCTCCTCCTGATGCACCTCCTTTACTCCCTGCTACTACCTCCTCCTGATGCACCTCCTCCTGATGCACCTCCTTTACTCCCTCCTACTCCGTCCTCCTGATGCACCTCCTTTACTCCCTCCTACTCCCTCCTACTCCCTCCTCCTGATGCACCTCCTTTACTCCCTCCTATTCCCTCCTCCTGATGCACCTCCTTTACTCCCTCCTACTCCCTCCTCCTGATGCACCTCCTTTACTCCCTCCTCCTGATGCACCTCCTTTACTCCCTCCTATTCCCTCCTCCTGATGCACCTCCTTTACTCCCTGCTACTACCTCCTCCTGATGCACCTCCTTTACTCCCTCCTACTCCCTCCTCCTGATGCACCTCCTTTACTCCCTCCTACTCCCTCCTCCTGATGCACCTCCTTTACTCCCTCCTACTCCCTCCTCCTGATGCACCTCCTTTACTCCCTCCTACTCCCTCCTACTCCCTCCTCCTGATGCACCTCCTTTACTCCCTCCTACTCCCTCCTCCTGATGCACCTCCTTTACTCCCTCCTACTCCCTCCTCCTGATGCACCTCCTTTACTCCCTCCTACTATCTCCTCCTGATGCACCTCCTTTACTCCCTCCTACTCCCTCCTCCTGATGCACCTCCTTTACTCCCTCCTACTCCCTCCTCCTGATGCACCTCCTTTACTCCCTCCTACTCCCTCCTCCTGATGCACCTCCTTTACTCCCTCCTACTCCCTCCTCCTGATGCACCTCCTTTACTCCCTCCTACTCCCTCCTCCTGATGCACCTCCTTTACTCCCTCCTACTCCCTCCTCCTGATGCACCTCCTTTACTCCCTCCTACTCCCTCCTCCTGATGCACCTCCTTTACTCCCTCCTACTCCGTCCTCCTGATGCACCTCCTTTACTCCCTCCTACTATCTCCTCCTGATGCACCTCCTTTACTCCCTCCTACTCCCTCCTCCTGATGCACCTCCTTTACTCCCTCCTACTCCCTCCTCCTGATGCACCTCCTTTACTCCCTCCTACTCCCTCCTCCTGATGCACCTCCTTTACTCCCTCCTACTCCCTCCTCCTGATGCACCTCATGTACACATGTATTGATGGACTCACATCTGAGACGAACTTTGACGTGGCGTCACTTAACGTCTTCAGCATCGGTGTGGCGCTGGCGTAAAACAGAGACATCCGATTGGCCAGCTCGTTGTTGACCTCGTTTCCTGCGTCGGCCTGAGAAAAATAAATATTTCGGACAAAATCAGTACTCAGTAAATCTTTAGAATAACATCTTCTTTAATCTCGTGGAAAGAAAACAATAAAAATCCAGATTTAGGAGTTTATTTTACTAACATGACATAACGCCTCATTTGCATATTTAAACATAACATGTCAGAAAACTTGTAATATAAAAAAGAGTTAATGTCAGCTGTCTGCCATCATTCAAGAAACATATTATATTATATTATAATAAATTAAATGGCACTATTATATCTTATGTTATATTATGTTAGATTAAATTATATTATATTTATATTATATTAAATTATGCTATATTATATTACATTATAATAGGCGCTTTCATACCGGAGTACTTTTCCCAGGAATAGTTCCGATAGTTCCGGGGATTTTGCGTTCACACCCAAAAGATCTGGAACTAGAACTTTTTTTTGCAAACCTTTGACCCCCTGTTTAGTCCCTGCTAGAGAGGTGGTACTTTCCTGGGGAGGAAAAGGTTCCAATTTCTGATTGGCTGGGCGATTTGCAAACCACGCCCCGTAAAACTCTGAAAAGTTTTGTGAAGCCGCCATTTTATTTCCTCGCATTAGCATTATTAGCATTAGCATTAGCCCAGCGCACCAACGGAGAGAGACTAACTTATGGCAACACAAAATAAAACATGGGAGCGGTGGAGATGAGGATGCCAGTCCCTAACTCCGGGGACTTCCGGCCGGGGACTTCAGGTGGCAGTATACGCCGTGAAGTGGTTTGCGGCCTGCTAGTAAACCCAAAGCAGAAGAAGAAGTGACGTCAGCGGCTCCCTCAGGGACTTATTCCGGTGTGAACGCGATTTACTAGAAAGTTCCAGGAAATAAAAGTTTCCAGGAACTATTCCTGGGAAAAGTACTTGGTGTGAAAGCGCCTATTATGTTATATTAGATTAAATTATATTATTTTACATTAGATTAAAGTATATTATATTACATTATGTTATATTATATTAAATTAGATTATATTACATTATATTACATTATGTTATATTATATTAAATTATATTTATATTATGTTATGTGGTGGCGAATTCCATAGGGACTTGGCTTGGCAACTGGAAGGTCACCAGTTCAAGTCCCGGAAAGACCAAGTGCTACCGAGGTGTCTCTGAGCAAGGCACCGTTCCCTACACTGCTCCCCGGGTGCCGTTCATAATGGCAGCCCACTGCTCCTAACACTAGGATGGGTCAAATGCAGAGAAACCATTTTGTTACATAGTACCTGTACTACGTAATGACAATAAAAGTGCAATAAAAAATAAAATTATAAAATAAAATGATATGTTATAATATTAATTGTTGTTGTTTACAGCCAGGTTGTTGATGCGCATGCGGCTGATGGTGCGTCTGTAGTAGCTGAAGTCATTCTGGATCGCTGGGTTCGTCATCTGGAAACAACAGAAGAAGAAGAAGAAGAGTTAAGCTTCTCCCACACTAACCCTCTACAGAAGAACAAGGGTTAAGCTCCTCCCACACTAACCCTCTACAGAAAAACAAGAGTTAAGCTCCTCCCACAATAATCCTCTACAGAAGAACAAGAGTTAAGCTCCTCCCACACATAACTCTACAGTAGAACAAGAGTTAAGCTCCTCCCACAATAACCCTCTACAGAAAAACAAGAGTTAAGCTCCTCCCACAATAACCCTCTACAGAAGAACAATAGTTAAGCTCCTCCCACACTAACCCTCTACAGTAGAACAAGGGTTAAGCTCCTCCCACACTAACCCTCTACAGAAGAAGAAGAGTTAAGCTCCTCCCACACTAACCCTCTACAGTAGAACAAGGGTTAAGCTCCTCCCACACTAACCCTCTACAGAAGAACACGAGTTAAGCTCCTCCCACACTAACCCTCAACAGAAGAACAAGAGTTAAGCTCCTCCCACACTAACCCTCTACAGAAGAACAATAGTTAAGCTCCTCCCACACTAACCCTCTACAGAAGAACAATAGTTAAGCTCATCCCACACTAACCCTCTACAGAAGAACAATAGTTAAGCTCCTCCCACACTAACCCTCTACAGAAGAACAATAGTTAAGCTCCTCCCATAATAACCCTCTACAGAAGAACAATAGTTAAGCTCCTCCCACACTAACCCTCTACAGAAGAACAATAGTTAAGCTCCTCCCACACTAACCCTCTACAGAAGAACAATAGTTAAGCTCATCCCACACTAACCCTCTACAGAAGAACAATAGTTAAGCTCCTCCCACACTAACCCTCTACAGAAGAACAATAGTTAAGCTCCTCCCACAATAACCCTCTACAGAAGAACAATAGTTAAGCTCCTCCCACACTAACCCTCTACAGAAGAACAATAGTTAAGCTCCTCCCACACTAACCCTCTACAGAAGAACAATAGTTAAGCTCCTCCCACACTAACCCTCTACAGAAGAACAATAGTTAAGCTCCTCCCACACTAACCCTCTACAGAAGAACAATAGTTAAGCTCCTCCCACACTAACCTTACATTATATCTCTGATTTATTATTGAAGTTATTTATCTTAGTGTAGGTGTAGGAGATAAAGAAGGAGGAGCAGGAGGGGGATAGGAGGTGCATTAGAAGGAGCATGAAGTAAAGGAGGTGCAGTAGGAGAAGGTGCACTAGGAGAAGTAAAGGAAGGAGTAAAGGAAAGAGTAAAGGCGGTGCATCAGAAGGAAGTGCGTCAGAAGGAGGTGCTTCAGAAGGAGGTGTGTTACCTTGAGCTCGTCGAAGCGCAGCGTGAAGTGCAGGATGTGAGCGAACTGTCGAGCCAGAGCCTGTTTCTGCTCCAGCTGCTGAGTGGGGGAGGAGCCGGAGGAGGTGAGGACGCCCAGGAGGAGGCGCAGACTGCCCTCTGAGGAGGAGAGGAGCACAATCTCACATTTAATCATCCATCTTTTACTAATCTGTAGGAACAACCTGAAGAATAACTGCAAGTTCAACAAAACCACCTGAAACCCTGCCTGTGGTTAACATGTTCTGTTTGATTTGTTTTTATTAATATTTCCAGTCCTGTATGTTACATGTTTTCATTTGATTGTATTTACTTGTTTAAAGGGGACCTATCATGCAAACTGCACTTTGTGATGTCTCTTATACATCAATATGTGTCCCCGGAGTGTCAGGGAACTCACACAGCGTCAGAAAATAAAACCCTCTCTCTTTTCCTCCGTACCCAAATCTCTAAAAACGGGGGAACAACGGAGCTGATCCAGATTTGCGTCCGATATGACGTAATATCTGAAATGTGGACCCACGGCCCTATCAGAAACGTTGCTATCAGAAACAATGCCCGACTGTTTTGGACGTAATATGGTCGGTGTTTACATTAGCATCGCTAACACTCAGAGCTAACCTGTACTGGAGAGCATGTGTGTGAAGAAGCAGGAAATAAAAAGGAACTCACCTTGTGGTATAACCGGCAAGAGAGAAAGCCTTTGAGCTCCATACTGTTTCAGAAAGAATCCTTGATAATCCATGATATGGCGTTTCATCACGGCAGCATTTAGTTTAGACAGTAGCTGCCGGGTCCCGCATGAGCTCAGACCCCTCCTTTTTATTTTTTTTAATCAATTCTTTTAAAGCTTCATACCCCAAATCAGCACTTTAGAAACAGGAAGTGAAATAGAGGGATATGAGGCATGGCTAGAATGGGTGATCTGTTTGGTATTTTGAGCAAAACACTTCATAGACATGTTTTTTATATATTTTCTCTAGGGCTGTCAAGTTAACGCGTTAATAACGCGTTAACGCAAAAAAAAATTAACGCCACTAATTATTTTAACGCGATTAACGCATGTGTATTTTTTGTCCTCGGCCGCCGTAGTTTCAGAGCGCATCGAGTTTAAAATACCATCTACAAGCTGATGCTGACAGCCCCGCTCCTGCTGCCCGCTTGTGGCAGACCACACTTCCACGCTCACCGGCAGGCCCGGACTGGCCATCGGGAGGACCGGGAGGGTGTGTGTATGTGTGGCGCGAGCGAAGCACACCTTACGTGTTGTTGTTAGCATCTGGTGCTAGCTAGCTGAGCTAACGGATATAAGGAGCTGTTTCAATGAAAACAGAGGAGCGACATTTCGCCGACAACTGCGCCGAGCACTTGACTTTATGCAGGTAGCCAGACAGCACACTCAGCACGGATAGTGCCGCAACACAGCTCATACACACAGGCATATATGCCTTGAGCTGCACATAGCTCCAACGATCCTCCACATTCTCACACACACACACACACACACACACACACACACACACACACACACACACACACACACACACACACACACACACACACACACACACACACACACACACACACACACACACACACACACACACACACACACACACACACACACACACACACACACACACACACACACACACACACACACACACACACACACACACACACACACACACAGTATTATTGTATGAGAGAGGTTCCAGGTTGAATTGAGGCGAATATTTGTAATGTTCAGGTTGTTGTGTTTAATATTCATGAGAATATTTGTCATTGTTCAAATGATAATAAACAAACATATAAAGCATAGTTGTCCACTCATATGTTGATAAGAGTATTAAAAACTTGAAAGATATCCCTCTAAGGTACATTTAGAACAGATAAAAAATGTGCGATTAATTTGCGATTAATCGCGATTAACTATTTTAATCGACTGACAGCCCTAATTTTTATATATCTGAGACCCATGCTATTGCCTAAAGATATGATAGGTGACCTTTAAAATGAAATGTGTCTTTAGGTTGACTTACAAAATCTGTCAGGACTACAGATGAAAAATAGCCTTGTGGCACATTTACAGACATTTTGATTAATGTGCACTGTCTCTATTAAAGGTGGGGTAGGTAAGTTTGAGAAACCAGCTCGAGATCGCTAGAATTTGAAAATACACAGCCGAAAAAAATCTGCCACTTCCTCACAGAGCCCCTCCTCCAACACACACGTACGCACACATGACCAATGAGGGCACGAGATAAGTTTGTGCACAGATGGAAGGCTGACAGGCAGGTAGGCCATCCAGTTATTTTAGCCGGGCCGGCTCAGATGATTGGTCGTGCTTTTTACAGTACCACGGCTTCCACAGATGATATTATTTATGTATTTTTTGTCAAAGCATTTAAGATATTCATTGCTATCAGGATGTTAAGAGCATTCCATGGAATATAACAAAAAGTGTATCTCGAGCCGGTTTCTCAAACTTACCTACACCACCTTTAAATAAATGAATAAAAAATCGGACATTTAATGATCCATCTTTTTACAAATCTTTCTGAACAACCTGGAAAATCATGCCTCAGTTCATCAAAATGAGTCCACAGAAAGTACAAATATGGCCACTTTCTGGTTAAAACTGATATTTAGGATCCTGGAAATGTCAGAAGCTGACTCCTCAATAACCTCCAAAACCAGAACACACTCCAACTCCAGCCAAGCCTCTTTTTATGCTACTGCAACGCAAACATTTCCCAAATTTAGATCAATAAAGTTCTTCTTATCTGATGTCAGTTTGATCGGCTGCTGAACCTCTGCCTCTCAGTGGATCAATGAAGTAGAGAGGAAACGTCTTCTATGTTATTTTCACACTTTGCAAACTCATCCTGTATGTTTGACACCTCTGTGATACAAACAGGAAGCTGTGGCCTCGCGCTCTGATGTCACAGCGCCCCCTGCAGGCTGAGTGGAGCATCACAACAACAACAACAACAACATGACATTAGTTATTATCTTAGTTGTTTTTAGTTTCTCACCGAGTTTCTGGGAGAACACGTAGAAGGTCTTCAGTTTCCCGACCAGAGGAACCACAGC